GGGGGGGCGGGGAGATGCAGAGGTTCCCAACCACTGAGACCTCTCTGACCAAGCTGGCTTGACAGATCTGGTCTTGAATCAATCCTGCGCCCCACCCCGCCCCGCCTCCATCATTGCTTTTGCTGTGGGTTTTCCCTGGTGGATCTGGGAGAATTTGCCCCACGGTGGGGAAAGAAATTAATTCACATCTTAGGTTAAAGAATACAAAAGAAAGATAATTCAACAAAGTGGTTGTGCTGGTCTCCAGGATGACAGTTTAAAGGGCACAAAGTTGGTCTGAAGTGTAGAGGCAGATGGCAGTCACTGCATCCCTTCCCGCCTTTCTTTCTCACTGCTTTGGCAAAACCACACCATCCTGAGCAACTGCAGGAGTAAACCCCATCATTCCTCCATCTGATGGCACTGCTGAGCACAGGAGAGGAAGGCAAGGACAAGCCAGTGACAAACCCAAGGAGAGCTTGTCTGGACCTCACCTACCCTGCTGCCCAGGAAGGTCACAAAAGCCTGATACCTCCTTCTCCCAAATTCCCTGGAAAGGCTGCTGAAGAGCCCAAAATCCTGAGCTGCCTCTGCTCTCACCAACTCCACCTCCCACAGAGACCCTTCAGATGCTGCTGAGCTTTTCAAAGTGCTTGGTAACATCCCCTTTTCTAAAGGAACTGCGTCACCTGGGGCTCAGGAGGAGGAGAGGAGATGGAGAGCACAGGAGGGAGGGAGCAAGGAGCAGAGCAGAGGGAGTCGGGAAACCTGAGATGATGCAGGGGACCGAACAGCAACATGACAAGGATGGTACACACAGAGGTGATGAGGACACCACACTGCATCGAGAAGCAGGAATTCAGTGCTACATGCCCCTAAGGCAGCAGGTCCACCTGCAAAAGGCTGCCACAAGCACATAGGCTAGCAAGCAGGGTGTCCTTCCTTGGACCCCAGGAGTGTGACAAACCTCCTCACTGGCATGGCTGCATCTCCCTGAAAGGCTTCTCATGGAAAAACAACACAAAACACTTCATCCTAGACTGCCTGAAAGCTCTGCTAGGGCACCTCCTTTCAGGCACTGGAAGACAAAATCCTGAACGACCAGGAAGCATGGGGCACCACTCGCAGCTGTGCATGGCCAGAAGAGCTCAGAATTGCTGGTGGCTTTTCAAAATATGGCTCCTAGTCTACAGCGAGGCTTCAAAACAGGCTGCCCACAAACGATGCTGTGCCTGCATCCCCCTGGCACCACCCCTCACTCCATCTGTGCAAGCTGGTGCTCCTCAGGTCCTGCAGCCCTCGCACTTCACCTTGAGCTGGACCTTGCAGGTGCAGTGTGGCTGCCCACCCACGAAGGATGCTGATGGGAAGCCAGGGCCCTGCTCAGAGGAGGGCAGTGCTCCTGCATCCACCTTCACAGGGAGAGGTGCTGAGCACTCCAAAACCGAGCCTGGTGATGAATGTGATGCTCCAGATTGGCTCTCGCTGGGGCAAGGCAAAGCACCCAGCTGCTGGTGAAGGGATATTTTAGAGGCATCCCTAAGAAAGTCACTCTCATTTCTAAAAAGGCTGTTTCCATTCTGGCACTCAGGCAGCATAACATGGTCCATCCGGTGGGTGCTGGGACCTGTGCTGGACCCCAGCAGGAGTCCACCATGTTGCACTGCACCTGCCCCACCACATCTCCAAGGAGCTTCCCCAGCCTGCACAAGCCATGGCTGGTGCTGCATGAACCACTTGTCATCTTGGAGCACTGCTTGCTTCCCTTCCCAGGAAAAGCTGGGCTCTAGGTGGGGTATCAGGGGCTGTTTGGGGAAGCCACCATCCCCTGGCAGCTGGCTGACTCCTAAGGGTGCTGATACTTGTGCAGGGAGAGCACACTCCTTATCATGGAAGTCCCCAGCCCCAGAGAACAAGGCCTCAAGCAAGCCCTGTGCAGGGCAAGGAGCAGGTTGGGAGGGCAGCAACCACAGCCCAGCCCTCAGGGAGTTCTCGAGGCTGCCAGCCAGCACAGTTTGTGACTCCAGGTGTGTTCCTGCCGCTTCCAGCTGTTTTGGAGCTATGGCCATCCAAGCTTCCAATGGGCAACATCCAGGAGAAGTGCTCTGACCCAAAGAATTGGCTGGGTTTGCCTGGACTGGGACATTGTGCCACTGAGTCACTAGTGTGTTTGAGTGCGACGGAGGCGGGCAGCTTGAGGCCACCGGCTTGCACCCCAGCTGGCTCTGATCATTAGGAATATAGTTACCTACAGGAGCAGAGGTGGTAACTTCTGTTTGAAGCACTTGTCCCGGGTTTGCCAGCTGAAGTGCTACAGAGGACTTGCTGCTGGAGACTGGGACATCCAGAGCAGTCTTTCCCAGCCTGGCTAGGTTAAATGGGACCTGCTGTTCTGGTTGAGCAAAGCTGACCTCAGATGTAATGGAGACTAGAGAGACCACAGCATCTTGGCCTTGTGCACCAGGTGCCTGGGGCTGTGGTGGGGCTTGAAACGCTGAATTAGTTGCCCAGCAGTGCTGGAAACGTGCTGCAGCACCGTTTCCCTCATTGCAGGGTGATGCACTGCAGTGCAGGAAGTCCATGCTCTTCCCAGCATCCTCCCTGAGGAGCATCTGCTCCACATAGGATGTTACCTCGGTGCCTAGCCTCTCGCCAGCCTCCTGAGCTGGCAGCTCCTCCTCTGTACCCAAACTAAGCAGAGCCTCCTCCCACTGCTGCAGCTCTGTGTTGTCCACATTGAGGCTCTGGAGGGTCTGGCAGATGTTTCTGTCCACCTTGCTCTTCTCAAAGAGGGTTTTGATAACTACCAGGAGGGAGTCGCTGTCCTCTTTGGCATCACTGACTTCCTCATTCTGGCTCAGTCTATTGGGCGCAGCAACGAGATCTGGCAAGGAGAACTGAGGCACATTATCAGTGTGGGAGATGTATATGGATGCATCCTGCTTCATCATGGCCCCAAGAAGCGAGTTGGGGTCTACCGAGTGCTGCTTCAAGTGGGAATTTGCCTGTGTCTGCAGCGCCTCCTTAGCCTGGAAGGAGTCCCAGAACTCGGGAAGGTCATTCCCGTACAGGACTGCTTCTCCTGTGGCAAAGCTAAAAGGCAGCTGCAGGTTTCTTTTCCGCAGATGTTCCTCCCCTTCTTCATTCCTTCAGGATGGAGGGGAAAAAAAAAAAGAGATAGGGAAACAGCATGAGCACCTCCCTCTGGGCCAGGCAAACCCACCCTCCCAACAGCAAGACAGGAGCTCACAGCACTGCCCTGGCTTTTCTAAAGAAAAGGGTGCTGGATTGGGCTGGCTATGATGCTGCTGGTGGAGGACTGGGGAGCTCATGGGGAGGTCTGCGTGGCTCAGGGAAGGGTTGCGTGTCCAGCGCTCACCCCGGGCAGGACCGAGCATGTCTGCAACCACCTTCGCAGAGCAGTTTTGCTCATGCCTCCCCACTACAGGGGCACATGTGCTGCAAAGTGCCAACTGTGCAGCCCAACCACCTTTTCCTCCACCCTCATCGCCTTCGTGTGCCTTGAGCAGCCCCAGAGCCACCCATGCCAAGAGCAGACAAAGGTAGTCAGAGATCCAGCAATACTCACGACAGGGCTCGCTGCCGGGCAATAATGCAGTCGGGCTTGCCTGCTTTGTACACCAGCCAGGCGTTGGCCTGCACCCACACCCAGACACCCTTCTTGGTCAGCAGCCGGAAAACTGTTAACCCGCTCTCCCCCGTCTTCATCACTAGGGCAGGAAGAGAAGAGAGGCGGCATGGACACGGTTACTCCGCAGGGACAGACAAATGGCACATGCAAGATGCCACAAGGTTGAGCATCACCTCACACCCATGCTATGGGAGGCATAAGATGCAGCATGCAGCCAGCACATGATGCCACGTGCGGTGCTGTCCCTCTGCCAACTCCCCAAGCAGGTATCAGGAAGGGAGAGCCTTTAGCACAGCTGCTTCAGACCTGCGACAGACAGTCTACCAAGGAGCACTGGTACTGGCTCTGCCAGAGCTGCACTGGTGCCGAGGAGCCACGGGGGCCTCCACCCCAATGCCC